TTGGGTTTGAATATTGAAAAAGGGCTGGAGGGATTAAAAGAAAATGGGTTTTAGTTTAGTGGGCCTGGTAGAGAGGAAATAAAGATGGGCTGTAATAGAATTAATTAAAATGGGGAAGGGAATAAAATGGGAAGTGGGCCGCCTGAATATTGAATGGAAGGCCCAAATCTGGTTCTTCCAAATTAAAGGGAAAAAGAGTTCAATTTAAATAATAGCCGATTGATTTAAAACAAAACGAATTTGGTGTAAATTTATTAACAAGCTTATTTATTTAGTAACATAATTATTTAAATTGTAAAATAGTGATTCAAAAGTATAATTATAATTTAGATTAAACTAGTTTAATAAAACATTTAAATGTACATTTTTTGATGGTTTTTTTTGAATAATCATAAGATATACTAATTATATACATAATTATGTGAGAAATATATTGTCGAAAATTATGTTAAAACGTATTCGAAGTAACATAAAGTTCATGTATTATATTATTTACATTTTCGCAAAATTTATAAAATTAATTGATTAAAATAATTTGGAAAACTTACGAAGCTCGGTAATTAAATTACGCCGACGTGGGTCAAAATTGGGTGTCAACAGAGGGTCCTTTGAAAACAACATCTCTACCTTTACGAGATAGTGATAAGGTATGCATACAATCAACCTTTATACCTTACTTGCGGAATTTTACTGAATATATTATTGTTGTTGCATAAACTAACATATTGTCTTTTATCTACTATATATTTAAAGGAATTAAATAGTATTTACTCACGGAGTAAATAATTTTCTATTATTAATTAATATTTCTATGACATGTTACTAAATTATGAATCAATTATTAAATAAGAATTGATGTTTAGGATTATTTTTTTTCAAGTCAAAGTTCCCTACAATTTAACTTTTTTTACTTTTCATTTTAGAATTTTATCCTTCATCTACACTTTTTTATTTTATTTTACATTTTATGTCACGACTCGGACCGTCGTGATTGGAGTCCACACTAACTTTCCGGTGGGAGAACCACTACTACAACCCAAACAAGCAACAAAACCAAAAAGCCAAGTTATTTAAGTTTCAGTAGCAAGTTAAATCTAAGGAAGTTCCCATGAACTCTAACAAAAATCTATCAACTAAAACAAATGCAGAAGAATTAACCTAAAACCTGAAAGTCAACGCACCAAAACATCCAAGTTCAACAAGTCAAGCAATAAGGGTCACAATCCCAACTAATGAACTAATTGACTAACTAGAAAAGTCCAAGTCCGAAATGTGAACATAGACTCCAAGAGAATCTAGAGCAGCCCGGAAGATGCTAGTTCATCCTTGAATTCGAAGTTGACGATTACAAATCTTCTAAGCGAGGTCTGTCAATAGCCGCCGGAAGATTCCCTGTTCTCAACAAAAATAAGAGGAAGCGCAGAATCAGTGTTCAACCACCATGTACTGGTAGGATCATGCGGCTATCCCAGGATTCTTAGTCCGGAATATGCTAGTTCATCCTTGAATTCGAAGTTGACGATTACAAATCTTCTAAGCGAGGTCTGTCAATAGCCGCCGAAAGATGCCATGTTCTCAACAAAAATAAGAGGAATCGCAGAATCAGTACACAACCACCATGTACTGGTAGGATCAAGAGGCTATCCCACTAAGTGCAACATAAACAAGTTAATTACAACAATATAAACATGCAACATATCAAACATATATAATATTGAATGTCACATGCTTTAACAATACACATTTTTCACAAGTTGTTGGTCCTTTCATGGAACTGAAACCCAAACTGTTAGTGCACTGGAACGTGGTATCTGATCCCAAAGTTATGCCAGGACGTGTCAATCCGATCCCATTTTTATATTGATACATGGCAACCAATTCCAGTTAGTTATGTCGGAATGTGATAGTTCGATCCATCAACACACTACGATCACATTCACAAGTATATTTCAATAATCATATCAAGAAATGATTCATTACATATAATTATTCATCTATGTCATTTACAACCAGTGTGAATCAACAATGCAACATTCACATACATGAATGCATCATTATGAAGCAATAACAATAATTCATCACAGAATCATAGAATCACAACTATCACATACCTTGAAATAATCTTGAAACCCTAGGAATCTGGATCCTTCCCTTTCCGGATTCATGTCGTTTGTTCTTGGTCTACAAACAATCATAATAACACGGGAATCAACAAACAATGGTTAATTACCCGAAACTATAGCAGTTCTATAAAACCTAGATCATACCCATGATCCTAAGTATCCAATTAAGGTTTGTTAACGACCTTAAGTCGCGTTGAGCCCGCTACAACAACCTTTATCCCATTGTAGTGGCTTTGCCAGAGCGGCATAAATCCCCGCCACGGCGGTTACGCGAGGCAGTGAGCTATTTCGAAAACCCCAAGACCCTTATTTCACAACACACCTCCAAATCACGACACTCAGAAAATACCTTCCACGCCAAGATCAATTCTGGAGTTCTACTCGCTCAAATATAAGTTTGTTAAGTCGTATGGATTCTTTAACGAGTTATCTAGCTACTCATGCAATCAAACTCATAAATGATTCACCCGATTGTTACCAGATTTCTCCACACGTCAAAGACTCCATTTCGTCTAAAATCTGAACTAGGTTGAGAAAAATTCAAATACTACGAAAAAGTTTTTCGACCCAAATTTTCCCCTGTTGGCTTTTCTTTAACGGCGGAACCCGATTCTTACATTTTATATATTGTTGTTTTATATTTTAATTTTAATTTGTGGAATACTTTTATAAATTTATTTGACTTGATGTTTTTAATTATATTTAAATTATTATGTTAATTTTTTGTTTGATTTATCTATTGGTAATTTATAATACTTACTTTTTAATCAAATAAACATAAAAAATTAATATAATTTCATAATAGATATTCAAAATAGTTTTTTTAAAAAAATATATATATAAGTATATTCTTGATATTAAAAGTGTATGTGTAACGGTCCTTTTCATAATTTGACTCTCAAAAATACTTTTTAAAAAATATTAGAAGTGCTTAAAAAATTTAACATTTTCTAGCCGCTTGGCCAAATAGGTCAACACCGTGCAAGTTCAATGTACTAATGACATTAAAAACATAATTCAAATTAAGGTAATTATTAAATAAATTCTTGATTAATTATAATTGGTAATCTAATTACTCATTTTCTTAATTCAATGAAGATTAAAAATCCGTCAACTCTTTTTGAATTTATCTAACACTTCAAAACTGCTTAAAAATTGTTTTCTCTTGAAAACACTTAAAACAAGTCAATCTAAAAGACTCTTTGGCCTCATTTGTTTCCATTAAGGTTAAGAGGTCTGAATATGAAATCACATCTGAATATTGAGATTTGCATTAAGATTGGTTGTTTTGATCTGAATGCACATTTGAATATTAAGATGTGGTCTCTAAATCTGAACTCTAAATAACTAATGTTGTTTGTTTTCAATATCTGAATGTGGAAGTGAAATTGAACATTATATTAATAAATATTATAGAATTTTCATTTCAACAAAATATATCTCTTTTGATAAAAACAAAGTTTTAGAAGTTTTAATAATCATGATTTGAAGTACTATTTTTTCATTCAAAAATCTTGATAAACAACAATGCACCAAAAATATTATTCCAACCAGTATTCTTGACACACATCAATACAAGAAAGTTATTATTATAAAAAAATACTTGAAAGCAGAGAAACTAAGAGTTATTATTTGATAACTTATCAAATGAGTCTAAATGTTGTTAAGAGTCTCCTAGAGATCTGATTCGTTTTGACCTATTCAGACTCCTTAAGAGTTTTTTTTTTAAAAAAATAAAACAAATAAACATAATGGGTTGAATATGAATGATTCAGATTTAGAGCTAAAAACAGACGTACTTAATGGGCTGAATGGGTTGAATCTGAATGATTACGATTCAAACCTCTATTAAGTGCAAACAAATGAGGCCTTAATCAAACACCGTCCCTGTTCAATGTACTAATGACAAACAAATATATTCACATAAAGGTAATCATTAAATAAAGTTCTTAGTAAACCATAATTGGTAATCTATACTCATTTTCTTAATTTATGAAGTAAAAAATAATCTATAAACACTTTTTAATTTACCTAAACACTTCAAAAGTGTTCACAATTTTTTTTAGCTAAAAACATTTAAAACAAGTCAATTCAAACGCACTCTTAATCAAACACCGTCCAAGTTTAATGTACTAATGTGACATAATCATTTAATAAATTGATTAGTAAACCATAATTCGTAATCTAATTACTCATTTTCTTAATTTATGAAGCAAAAAAATACTCCCTTCGTTTAAAAAAGAATGACCTCATTTCCTTTTTAGTCTATTTCAAAAAGAATGTCCCCTTTCTTTTTTGGAAAAACTTTAACTTTAACTTTCCAGGTGACATATCTAAGATCACAAGATTAAAGGGCAATTTGTTATATTTGTCATAACTTTAATTTAGAACCACAAGATCAAAAATTCTTCTTTCTTTTCTTAAACCCCGTTCCAAGTAAAACTAGACCATTCTTTTTTAAACGGAGAGAGTAATCTATAAACACTTTTAATTCACCTAAATACTTCAAAAGTGCTTACAATTTTTTTAGTTAAAAACACTTGAAACAAGTCAATTTAAACACACTCTTAATCAAACACCGTCCAAGTTGAATGTACTAATGTGACATAAAAAATACATATTCAAATAAAGTTAATCATTAAATAAATTTCTTGGTAATTTCATTACTCATTTTCTTAACTCAAAAATAATATAAAATCTATACAACTTATTTATAAATTAAATAAAACTATTACCTCATAGTCAAAAACATTTTCAAGAGAACTTTAAATTCAAATCTTAAAGTATTAAAGAAACAGTATAAATATATGATAATAATGATAATATAATAAAATATTGAAATAATATTTACAAAAAAATGAATTTTGACCATAATAGGAGTGAACCATTCGAAGTAGAAGAAGAAGAAATGGCGAGATTTTCAGTTGGAAGAGATGAACATGATAATGATGAAGGAGGACCCTGTAACTCCTGCACATCCGTACGCAAGAGACGGAGGACTACCGCCGGAACTTTATCTCGCGGCGTCGTAATCCGTCAACAAGAAGAAGTGGAAGAAAGAGAAAGGGAAAGGGTTGTTAGGGAAGAAGTAGAGGAAGAGGCAGAGGAGGAGGATTGGGGATCGGAATCTGAGGGAAATTTCCGATCGAGCGGTGATCGGAGGGTGCCAGTTTGTGAATCCGAGGTTTTAAGAGAGAACAAGCCTATTTCTGGTGAGAGCATGTATCAGAATTTTGAGGGTTCAATCATAAACAGGTCAATTTCTGTGACGTTATTGGATCCGGATGTGTTGGATTGCCCGATCTGCTTTGAACATCTCTGTGTTCCTGTCTTTCAGGTTTCTTCTTTTTACCCTTTTCATTGCTATTAGGAGTATAAGAATTTATCTGTGTTGGAATTAATTGTGTTTGGAGAATTCTTGATTTTCCTTTAGAGGTTTTTGAAAGACATGGTCTTGAATAGAAGGGAATTTGTATTGACATTTACAATCTGACCAATATACTTTATTTCTCTTAGGGTGTAAAAGTTACAGTTTTTGTTAATCCAACAGTGGGGTTTGGGAGGATAGAGTTTATGCAGACTTTAGCCGTGCCTGGTGGAGGCGGTTTTAAAAAATAAAATATAGAAGTAGAGCAGACATGTCAGATAATAGAAATATGATTACTTAGCATGCAGTATTGCATTGGAAAAGCATAGGAAATGTGGATCTGTTAAAGAGTTTAGTTGGGAGAATTGCTGACAGTGGAATGACTGTGCTTATCCCATCTCATGTGGTTCTAATTTTGATGTTACAACATTTCATTCAAATTGGAGAATAACTGGCTAATATAGGTCTTTGTTTTACTGGTGAAGTCATGGTCTTAATGGCGTAATATTCAAGTTCAAAGAAACACTGGGTTATGATGGAAATTATAAGACACTTAAAGTGGGGAGATGCCTACCAGTTTCAATCAAGTTAATCTCATTCTGACTAGAGATTACAAATGGGTATCATTGTAAATGGGTTTTTTCTTTTCGCATCCCGATTTAATCTGGGCTTAAGTTACATTGTAATTAGGCTTTTTTCTTGCAAAATATCTGGTGATATAGTTTGTTCCCTTAATGTTATTGTTATGTTTCTAAAGATATCTAATGCCCAAACTTCCCCGTTCCTTTGGCAATATGACTTTATCCCACTTCACAAGGTGGAATTTATGCTCTTCACGGTCTCCTTTCCATAGGAATGCCCTTCTTAGACCAACTAGTTGCTCTTTCACCTCATATGACATTGGGATGAGGGAAGTAGGTAGGTACCCTGTCCAGTACACTATTTATGGGGGTAAGCCTTTCTTTCATAAATAGATATTCCATATCTCAGGTGCTTTGTATTTTGCATCTAAAGGGAGACCAAATTAAGTAGAGTGGAAAGAGCATGTGCCATACCCCAGAATTCCACGCTAGGGTATTCAAAATAGACTTCTTTGATAGGGTAGGTCTGGTTCTTCATCATGTTAATATGTAATCCAGAGACAGCTTCAAACAGCTTCAGAGTTAGATTGACATATAGGACTTGCAGAGTCTCTGCCCCACAAAAGATTAGGGTATCAGCAGTGATAGAAGTTATTAACTGTTTACTGTTCCTTCTTGTAGATCTATCTGATAGAAGTTATTAACCGTATACTATTCCGTTTTTGGAGATCAATCGTAATAGAGTTATTAACTACATACTATTATTTTGTTAGAGATCTATCGTGATAGAAGTTATTAACTGTATACTATTTCCTTTGTTGGAGATCTATCGTCATAGAAGTTATGTACCTAGGCCTCTTTTTAGAACTCTTGGTTTTAGCTCACAATAACTTAAGATTTAATCTTGTTACTGCATTTAAAAGCATACATAACTGAGGTTCAGATCGTAAGTTCTACGTCCTTCTCCTTGCCAGGGTGGTTAATTTATGTCCTCTTTCATCTAAGGTAGAATATAGCTATTGGTAATCAATTTGTTGTTATTGCAACAAAATATGACATTTTAATGCATGAGCGTGTTTTAAATGAAATTATTGAGTCTTTTGGACCAAGCAAGAAATTAAAGCCATGACTCTAGGTTTATGGAAAATGCTAATACAAAGAGCTAAATAGTGAATTTTAAGTACAATTTGTTTACGCTTTCCATGTATCACATTTTTCTTTTTCCCATCTTATTAAGTTGTGTACTTCGAGAAACCTTGAAATTTATAAGCATGCAGAGTAGAGTAAGCTATCATCTGCAAACATTCTAATTGCTTGCAATGAATATATTTTCTGACATCCTTTTTTCTTTCTGGACAAAAATATAGTGTGGGAATGGGCACATAGCATGTGCCCCTTGCTGCATCAAGATTGCTAATAAGTGTCCATCATGCTGTTTGCCAATTGGATATAACCGTTGTCGAGCTATGGAGAATGTTCTAGAATCTCTGAAAGTGTCATGCGTGAACAATAGGTATGGTTGCAAGGAGATCCTGAGTTATAGTAAGAAAACTGACCATGAAAATGCATGCATCTATGTGCCTTGTTTTTGTCCTTCCCATGGCTGTGACTTTATAGGTACTGCAGCAAAGGTATATGCACATTTTAGCGAGAAACATGCTTCTTCAGCAGATCACATTTCTTTCAATGTTGTCCATCCAATTTATATAGAAAAAGACCAAAGGTACATAATTCTTCAAATGAGGACAGAAGGTATACTTTTTATCGTCAACCATGCTAGTGACCGTGTTGGGAGTGCTATCAACATCATCTGTGTTGGACAAGCTAGGCAGAAGAGAAGGTTCTCATACAAGCTTGTAGTAACAGATGGGGAAAGTTCTTTTAAACTAGAATCCGTTGCAGAGAGTGTGCCAAACTGGACAGAAGATAGTCCTATGAAGAAATTCCTTGTGGTCCCAAAAGATGTCGTTAATTCCAGTGCTCGGCTGAAGTTGGATGTTCTCATAGAAGAGAAGGAATGAGTCTGCAATGGTTGCACATGTTGATGTAACATTGCCTTGATAACTTCTTTAGAGATTTCATGTCAATAGACAATAGTCATTGGATTGGTGCTTGCTTTATTTGGGGATATGAATGTTTGCTGTTGAATTTACTTTCTTCCTTATTTTAAAAGGATTTTTTATATATTATGTTTGATATTGGTGCTGCTATATTTGGGGATTTTGAATTTATACTGTTGAAATTACTTTGTTCCTTATTTTAAAATGATTTTTCATATAATGTTTGATATTGTCATGCTAGGGTATACTAATTGCATATTTTGTCAAATTTCTAAAATTAGCTTATTTCGAAAGCGCATTCCGAACAAAATATTTTTTTATTGGAATCAACTTGTGCTTTGAAATTTATTTTCCTCAACTGTGTTTTTCAAAAGCGTACTTTTGTGTAACAGAAGATATTGTTTTTTAGCTTCTGCTACTTCACAAAAATGCTTATTTTTTAATGATATTTGTCCTTGGGATGAATTTTTAATAGTAATGTTTTCCCACTTATATTTGTACATGACTATGAGATATACTTTTTGTCAGAGTACCTCATCTTGAGTATAGTATCAATCTACTTTAATATGTTTATCCATTCATAAAAAAATAGTGTAATCGAGTAATATATAATATCATAATAATTACATATAAGATGATGTTTCACCCCCAAAAAGAAATACTCCAATAAGGAGATTTTATATATTCCACCATGTTTAGCATTATCAAAGACCAAAATATTAGCGGGTTAAATATACATTACAATGGCTTTCGTATGAACGTATTGAACATCTTTTCAGAGCATAATATTGTTTTGCAAAAAATAGTTTTGTAAAAAGCAGTTTGTGTTTGACTTTTAAATTTTAAAAATCCTTATGAGCAACAATTAGTGTTTGATCAAATTTTTAAAAGTGCTTTTTTAAGTATATTTCTTTTTTCTCGGAGATGCTTTCTCAAAAAAGTATATTTGAGCAAACGCTACTTTTTAGCTTTTGATAAATAACTTGTATTACTTAAAAAAAAACTTATTTTCTCCCAAAAAGTTTATATAAACACCTCATTTAAAAAAAATAAAAATAAACATTTAATTTTTTTAAACATTTCACCTCCTAAAAGATTGACCAAAATTAGAAGAGAAGGTTGTGGGGAAATACAATATTAATGTCCATGAGATGAATTTTTTATTACGATAGTTAACAGATCAAGCATGTTTGTCCTCAACTATTCAATTAGATATACGCTACCTCTCATCAACTCAACTATCATAGACATATTTGGAAAAGTCGTCTAGAAAATCTATATTTATCATATTTACATTTATATATGTCCCAAGTTGATGCATATCATTCACTTTATGATGTTTTCTTGTGCAAATTGCCCTTACTACTTTATATCTAGTTACTTCTTAATCCTCATTTAAGAAGATGAGGGTAATTTAATTAAATTCCTTTTATTGCTTAATGCTTTTGAAATCCTCATGAATGTGTCAAAACGCTTAAACATGACATAAAGTTGTGAGACATTTGCTTTTTGCAACCAATGATATTGCTTTTAGTTGTAATCTAGTAATCTGGTTCTACATTCATATTCTTCGGGTGACAGATTAGTAATCTGCTTATATATGGTATCATTAAAGTTTTTTGTTCAGAAATTACTTATTAATTAAATATATTACAAAAGTTATTAACAAATAACAACTAATGATCATATTCTACACATATATAATGCACTCCAATTGACATAATACATAACGTGACATATGATACATTTATTAATATTAATTGTCACATTTACACTTCACATATTAAAATACTCTCGTATGAATGCAATTTGAAACATATTTTAAATTAATTGATTGATATATATTGAACAAAACCTAACAAAAATGCACCCTCTTGGTTCACAAAGAAACTTTCTTCTATTTTCTCACTTTATTTTCTGCTAGTGTCTTTCCTATTCAAAGCCATCATTTCCATCAACCTTCACAATACCATGTTTAAAAAGTCATTAAAAATCAATTTTTTAAATAGAAAAAAACAAGAAGATGGAAATCACTTGGTTGGTACTATATATTTAGTTGTTAAGTTTGACTCATACCGTGTATTGACCAATATAAATAAAATCTTATTTCAAATAAATTCAAAAGTTCAATAAATATATATTCGTTCATAACTTATAATAAAATTGATTATACATAGTCCTCCCCCATTCACTTTTACTGATCAATTATTTCTAAAATATATTATTACTTTTACTTGTTATTTTTAATAAATTAAGAAAATATAATACTCCCTTCGTTTTTAAAAAAATACCTAGTTTGACTTGAAACGGAGTTTAATAAAAGAAAGAAGACTTGTTAATCTTGTGATTCTAAATTAAAGTTATGTCAAATGTACCAAAATGTCCTTTAATCTTGTGGTCTTAAACATGTCACATGAAAAATTAAAGTGTTTCCAAAAAAAGAAAGGGGTCAATGTCATTCTTTTTTAAACAGACTAAAAAAGAAATAAACTCATTCTTTTTGAAACGGAGAGAGTAATTTTTTCCACGTTTTACTCATTAATATTAAATATTATTCTCTAGATCATCCTATAAGATCTAATAGTGGACATCAATTAATACCTATGTCACTTATTATTATTTTAATAATTGTATCAAGTCAAATAATAACAAGTAAAAATGGAGTACCTACTATTAATCTTCAACAACCACAATTTACTAGTTTTTTCCTAGCAACCCCCTCTCACATATTTCACCATTTACTGGTTTTTTCCTAGCAACCCCCTCTCACATATTTTGTTTACCAACCATCATTTGTTCCTCTATATATACTCACCACATGATAGATACATATATATACCACAACCAAAACAAAAGGTTTTATAAGTTCACAACATTTTTTATATACATACAAATAAACTCTAACCATTTTCTCTTCACTAAAATTTCTTCATTACAAATCTAACAATTTACTTGATCCAATGGCACCATCAATTGCACAAAATGGACATATTAATGGAGAAGTAGCTATGGATTTGTGCAAGAAATCAATCAATGATCCATTGAATTGGGAAATGGCTGCTGATTCTTTAAGAGGCAGCCATTTGGATGAAGTGAAAAAGATGGTGGATGAATTTAGAAAGCCAATTGTGAAACTTGGGGGTGAAACTTTGTCAGTTGCACAAGTTGCATCCATTGCAAATGTTGATGACAAAAGTAATGGGGTTAAAGTGGAACTTTCTGAAAGTGCAAGGGCTGGTGTGAAAGCTAGTAGTGATTGGGTTATGGATAGTATGAGTAAAGGTACAGATAGTTATGGTGTTACTGCTGGATTTGGAGCAACATCTCATAGAAGAACAAAAAATGGTGGTGCTCTTCAAAAAGAACTTATTAGGTAAACAAACTATTTTTTTTCGTTATATATACTAACAATGTAAAGAATTTAATATTTTTTTGTTATATATACTAACAATGTAAAAAATTTAATATTTTTTTGTTATATATACTAACAATGTAAAGAATTTAATATTTTTTTGTTATATATACTAACAATGTAAAGAATTTAATATTTTTTTGTTATACATAGCTTATCGACTACTTAAGTGCTCCATTGATAAAGATTTTTTTTTGTTTTTACGCGAAGGGGATTCGGATGAATTCAGTTAAAATGTGATCTTAATGAATTATGATATTTTTTTGTAGGTTCTTGAATGCTGGAGTTTTTGGTAATGGAATAGAATCATTTCACACATTGCCACATTCAGCAACAAGGGCAGCTATGCTTGTTAGGATCAACACTCTGCTTCAAGGCTACTCTGGCATTAGATTTGAGATCTTGGAAGCAATCACTAAGTTGATCAATAGCAACATCACCCCGTGTTTGCCTCTCCGTGGCACGATCACTGCCTCGGGTGATCTCGTCCCTTTGTCCTATATTGCTGGTTTGCTCACTGGCAGACCTAATTCCAAGGCTGTTGGACCCAATGGTGAGAAACTTAATGCTGAGGAAGCTTTCTGCGTGGCTGGTATTAGTGGTGGATTTTTCGAGTTGCAGCCTAAGGAAGGACTTGCACTTGTGAATGGCACAGCAGTTGGTTCTGCTATGGCATCAATAGTCCTGTTTGAGTCCAATATCTTTGCTGTTATGTCTGAAGTTTTATCAGCGATTTTTACTGAAGTGATGAACGGAAAGCCCGAATTCACTGACTATTTGACACACAAGTTGAAGCATCACCCTGGTCAGATTGAGGCTGCTGCTATTATGGAACACATTTTGGATGGAAGCTCTTATGTGAAGGTAGCTCAGAAGCTCCATGAAATGGATCCTCTTCAAAAACCAAAGCAAGATCGTTATGCTCTCCGAACATCTCCACAATGGCTTGGACCTCAGATTGAAGTCATTCGTGCTGCAACTAAGATGATCGAGAGGGAGATTAACTCAGTGAACGACAATCCATTGATCGATGTTTCAAGAAACAAGGCCTTACATGGTGGCAACTTCCAAGGAACCCCTATTGGTGTCTCCATGGATAATACAAGATTGGCCCTTGCATCAATTGGTAAATTGATGTTTGCCCAATTCTCAGAGCTTGTCAACGACTATTACAACAACGGGTTGCCATCTAATCTGACAGCAGGAAGGAATCCAAGCTTGGACTATGGTTTCAAGGGCGCTGAAATCGCGATGGCTTCTTACTGCTCGGAACTTCAATTCTTGGCAAATCCAGTGACTAACCATGTCTAAAGTGCTGAGCAACACAACCAAGATGTGAATTCCTTGGGCTTAATTTCAGCCAGGAAAACAGCTAAGGCTGTTGATATCTTGAAGATAATGTCATCAACCTATCTCGTGGCTCTTTGCCAAGCTATTGACTTACGACATTTGGAGGAAAACTTGAAGAGTGTTGTCAAGAACACAGTTAGCCAAGTAGCTAAGAGAACTTTGACAATGGGTGCTAATGGTGAACTTCATCCAGCAAGATTCAGCGAAAAAGAATTGCTTCGAGTCGTGGATAGAGAATACTTGTTTGCCTATGCTGATGATCCCTGCAGCTCCAACTACCCTTTGATGCAGAAGCTGAGACAAGTCCTTGTTGATCAAGCAATGAAGAATGGTGAAAGTGAGAAGAATGTCAACAGCTCAATCTTCCAAAAGATTGGAGCTTTCGAGGACGAATTAATCGCTGTGTTGCCTAAAGAAGTT